TTTGACGTTGAACCGTCTGTTCTGTCTACAGGTGCGCAGGTGGTTGGGTGTCTTACTGCACGGAGAGCGCATGCTTGTACTCACAATGCAAAACTTTTGAGATGTAGCGCATGAACTATTTATAGGAAGGCTTTGTCTTTCTTTCTTTTGGTGGATGGAATTCTGAACTGATGCACGTTTCTTTTACCCTTATGTATGCTTTCAAAGTACGCCACTGTTGCCTGCAAGCTTTTCAACGTTTTAGACACGCCACTTGCTCCCTGGTAGCTAAGCATATAACTTCAACAGTAGAGCGTTTTCTCTCACTTTCCAAATATGACGGCCATCTTGGTGGCCTTATTTGCATTTCCAAGCATACACAGCATTTTTGGGTTTTATCGGCAATGTTTTAAGTATTCCTCGGATAGTCTCCTTTTAAGCTATAGGCAATAGATAGTGGTTATTTAAACTCAGACCTCAAAAAATACGAAAACGCTCGAGCTGTTACTCAATGGAATGCTAATGAGGACACCAACATGGCGGCTGACACGGCGATGACGTCATGTGAAAACAACCCTCACCGTTGATGACTTCTCTCCACAGATATGGCACGACAAGAAGGGCCGCGGATACCTCAGCTTCGCAGCCCCCATCCGTAAATGATCCATCCCTGTTTGGTTTTGTCACTCTGTGTGAGTTTTGCGTCCTTCTGTGTGTCCACGTTTTCAAACAGGGGTCACACTTGCACGACGATTGTACTAATGCATGCAGAATGCAGTCTCCAAGCAAATGTAGGGTCCTGGTCGATGTTTTATGCGTTAGCTATAGGGGGAAGCAAAGAAAGAAAACAGCGGGCCTCTAAAAGAAAGACGTATAAAAATCTTAAAGAATGCATCGAACACTGACCCGGACCCTACATCTTGGAGATTATGCACTTTCCAACTTTTTTTCAGCACTTAAATGCACGTCTTTATTTTAATGCATGGTAGTCTTCCTGATATATCTTGATACTGAAATGTTTGCGTAACGAAACACGTGAAAAAGCCACATTTTGAAATTGTAACTTTATGTCTTTTTCTATGTTTTGTTCAGGATTTTTTGGAGCATCTAGAAAACTTCACCTGGCGAGAGAAGTTAAAACTGCTGAGCCTGCAGGAACAGCGGCCGCTGGGAGCGTGGTTCCGCCAGCGGGGACAACAACAACCCGCCAAACCGCCCGACACCGCCCGCGAAAAGACACCCGAGAAGAACAAGAGACGAGCGGAAAGGAATTCGCAGCGCTTCAAATGCCTCGCTCTGGACCCTGACAACGCTGTCATGGACCACTGGGAGGGAGATCGACACCAGAAGGAGAGGCACGCGCAGCTCAACCAGAAATCGCTAGGTGTCGTTTTGTTCAAGAAGTCACTGCTCCCCGAGAGGGACGTGAGAAAGAGACTGTTGTTTAACGCGAAGGGAGGAGGGTGGAAGACCTACGCGGCTTCCAACCTGAAGCCAAATCCTGTAGAAGGGTATCAGATACCCGATGACATATCGGCGGTGACGCAAGGGGTCGCTGATGCACGGGACACCAAAAGGCTGACTGAGATGGTGTCGATCAAGACACGGAAAGAACAACTCAAGTCGCCCGGCAAAACGGCACCGTTCTAAGGAAACCCAGAAAAATCGCCTTAAGAGAACAAAGCTTGTCTCCCAATGTAAAGCCATATATAACAGGACACAGACATCGAACATATTTGCTGGGAAACCATGGATTTGCCATCAGTACTTCTCGTGTTTAGACTAAGAGGAAAACATTAATTATCTGACCAAATCCGTCCGTTTATTTTAACGTCTATCTCGGGGATTTTACCGTCCGTCCTATATACTGTAAGTTCTCGAAATGACATTGTGTTGATCCATGAAGAAAGGAACGAAAGGCCATATCAATTTGTATTGCGAGAAACGCGCCATAGCTACTGAAAACGGTGAACAAAAATTATACTCCAGAACCGCCTACTACGGATAACTGTACGCTCAAAAGAAAGGCAAGCATGTAACTTATTTTCCGTCCACTAGATTGTAATGTTTTGAACTAGGCATCGGCACTTAATGTATTTCAACGTTTAAATCGTTTTCGAGAGCAAAGAATCCAAGTCCATACAATTGCTCGTAAACCAGTGGTGAACTGCCACTCGAGTAAGGCATATATTTGGTGCTGTTCCAGGGAGTTCAGTAGTCCCTTAAATGGTTTTCCCAGCCGCTTTCTTAATATGGACAACATGATACCTGAAGTGACTTCCATCCATGACAGAACGCCATATTGCAAAGCCACGAAACAAAAGCCATACCATGACAACAGGTTATCTAGACTGAACGACGTGTTTCTTGTTATTGTTACGACATACATTGTGTTTCATAAATACGCTGGAGCTTACATTTATATTACTCGAATATTTGTGAGTATATCTAAATATATATAACAAATGTGAACAATATACTTGTGTGTATCGATATAGCCTCAAAGGCATTGTTTATATGCGTTGTTTGTTTGCATCATGGGAATTATATTATCTTTTTTCGTCCAATGGTGGGGTCGGTAACATCATTACCGGAAAAGTATTTTGTGTACATAGAGGAAACTTCGAAATTGTTTTCGGATACGGAACGCTATTTTAGACGAATTATGACACAAAAACTATTGTACAATGTACTTCCAGGTACAGCAGTAAGTTTTGTTGGATACAGCTTATTTTTTGACGTTTATAAAGTTAGACATGAACAATTGTACGATCATGTGCTAACACGCATTTTCTACTGTATCTAGTGTGTAGTTTGTTGTGTTTTTGTAAGTATGAGTTGAATCTTGTACTGTATATGAACCTGAGAGGAACCCAGGACCAGCCATTGTCATGACATGAAATACAGAGGATATATATTTTTCTTCTTCTAAAACTGTAAATGAATGCTGCAGTGAGATATTTATATATTGCGGGAATTAAAAATGGCCTTAGATACTAGAACTCTTGTGTTTAAGTGTTGTGATCTTTTTTCGAAGGTACAAATGTAGACGTAAGCTCGTGGGCGCCGGCTGACACGCATGTCTTGCCAATAACATTTTACCCAACAACTTTTCATTTGAATTACACTTGCAAGATTAACGTTTGATTTTTCTAGTAAATAGACTACAACTACCACATTTGTACTGGCTACAAAATATGGGAAAACGGAAAAATACCGGTACTGCTTTTTATAAAACAAAGTAGTCAACATACCACATTAATACAATTCTCACCATTCTGGGTAACATGAAAGTATTTATTACGTTCTTACATCCACACATCCCTTTGTGTGTTGATTCTTGAGTAAAAGTGTGTATCAGCTATGGGACTGGTTTATTGTCCTGTGTCTACCATAATAACATCATATTGGCAGTGAAATAATTAACCTTAGTTATAATGCATGTCCCACAGTTAACTTTGGTATGTGTGCTTATTTTCGGTTCACTAACAGACACAAACATCAACATACAATAGATTGACTGGTTCTACATGTTATTACAATCAATATTTACAATTCATCCTATTTACTTGGATGGACCAAGACCTATAGTGAGATAGGTGTTGGTTGTCGTTTTTCCATGTTTTGGATAGTCAAAATAGCCGTAAAAACACTTAGGTATTCGGAATAATCTTGCAGCTAGCCTGAAATGGATTATGCGAATGGCAATACGTTTACTACAAGTAGACAAGTGTGGACATTATATATTACAAGAGGCAGCAGCAAATCTAGATGTTGAGTGTGGAAAGTGCAATTCAGTGGGTCTGGAGCTAACCTGGGATATTTATCATTTTTCAACCCCTTAAACCATCTGCATTTTGATAGGAAAACCTTAATTGAGTAACTCTCAGTTGGCCATGAATCAGAATATTGCACTCAAAAAGTGAGAAGTCTTCTACTTACTTAACTCCACATACATGTAAAAAAACACTAGAATATACAAAAAGGAATGTATGAGCATGACAATGATTCAATAACATAGATCTACAAATCATCACAGAGGATAGGCAATTTTCTACAGAGCAATCACAAAGCAATATCTTTTGCTCTCTTTCCAGATATACTTTCATATAGGATAGGATAGAAGGACAAAACTTGTAAATTAATGGTTCTTATTCACTACATTGAGGTCTCAGGTCTTGTTCCCTTTTATACGAAACTTATAATACATGTACATGTATTTGTCAGTCTATAATAATATGTAATACATGTATCTGTCAGTCTAATGACTAACTTTTACTTCGTCTATATTCGTCTGATATCATTCACATTTAAACCATTTTAGGATAAATAATAGTTTAGTAGAAAGAAACCACACTGAGGCAAGTACGCTGGGAATGAGATTCCATGACAGTAGTGCTCTGGGAACAAGACCATCTAGCAATCTGACCAATGGCGCAACAGAATACCGCATACATTAACATCTGACCTGACAGTACATACACCTACTTCTAAAGAAGGCAAAAGTATTTGCCAGGAATCAAATTTTGTTGCACTTAGCTTGACAAAGTTTCATTATATTGCAGAAAAGCATTTGTATATACAAACACTTTGCACAGCATTTGGCTATTGGCAATAAGGAAGTCTATCACAGTTACATTGCACATGAAGGTATATACATACAATAAGTTCAACATTTTTGACTTCATACTACAAGAAACAGCTGGGGATTATCATTTGTAAATATAGTACTTACACTCATTCTGATTGGTCAATCCATCCAGTCTATTGCCTCAGTCACGTTTCCAAACCAGCGCCCAGTTGGGTAGTTTGTTGACAGACATTTTTAATCACTTTCAAGCAGGGCCCCATGGGATTCCCAATGGCTGCTGCACTATTTCTGGGCTAGAGTGAGTCCTCAGCTGATTTCAATTTAGTTTTAACCCTTGTCCTGCTGGCATTTTTTACACAATATTTTTCAATACTTTTATGTCTTAATCAGGTCATAGACCCCTGACTTTTTTTGCCCTGCAGTGGCATAGTTACTTCCACATTCGTTGCGTTTCATTCGCTGCGGTGTGATGCATTGCACGAGAAATACCCCCAAATCATACCTATACAGAGTTCTATATATATGGTACTGTATGTCCGCAGGACAAGGGTTTTAAAATCAGCAATGATCATGGGGGAAAATATGCCAGATCCAAGCTGTGACCTAATCATGAAAACATCGACAGGGCCTGGTTTGGAATAACCTGGTATCCAAAGCTATTGTAACCAGCTGCCAAGTCTCTCTTATTTTCTCAAAAAGAGAACCGGAAGCTGTAATAGGTTTAGATACGAGGCTATGTGTGGAAATGTGACTGTAGCAAAGTCTGACATCATTTCCATACTACATGACTTGTGTGTCTTCATTTCTTCAGCTACAGTTCCTGCTGAATCTTCTTCTCCCCATGGTCCTCCTCCTCCTCCCCCTCCTCACCCCCCTCCTCCTCCCCACCCCCCTCTGGCTCCTGGTCCCCCTGTTCCGTGTCGTCAGGCAGGGCCTGTGTCTGACGCTGGATGATCTCAGGACCCCCTCCGTAGATAGACACCAGGAACTGCCACGTCTCTTCTGAGATCTGACCGGAATCTGAGCCTAGAGTGGGAAACATTGGAATTACTGTGAATTTCATCCTGTGATGAAAATGGGGACTGCGATATCTCTGCAGTTTGCAGTCAAAACAGTAGTAACAATTCATAAATGTGATAAACACACTGAACTATAATTTGCAATGTTTTTTGTTTTTTAGCTTAAAAAGTTCAGTGTGTTTATCATTCATAAATGTGATAAACACACTGAACTTTTTAAGCTAAAAAAAAAAACATTGCAAATTCAGTCTCATACAGTAACACTAAGAGCAATGAAGAATGATGACAATGCTGGAGTCTTATCTTTAAGGAAAAGATCAGATTGAAAATATACCTGGTTTGAGTCCAGAAACGAGACCCTTTCCTGTGGCAATGTTACTGTTATCCACTGGTCCGGGGGGATCTACAGTAAGGTAAATATGCATTATGAAAACTCTTCAAGTATAATGCCAACAAACACCGTACAATTTCCAATAGCTACGTACCGTACGTCTTAAAGTTTACACATTTCTAATTTACATATTCATAACATTTACAACTACATTTGTAATAAATGATAATTATTCTGTAGTAGCAAGGATATTACTGGTACAATGTCCTTTACAGTAGACAGCAAGTTAGAAGGATGCAGCAGAAGGGGTCTTCCATTTACCTTGTTCCTTCCCCTTTACAAATGACTCCCACTCCCTGAACCACTTCATGCTGATGTAGTAGATGATGGGGGGTGAGTCTTCTTCCTGGAATGCCTTGTTCAACTGTTGTGGGGTATAAAGAGATGTAACCTTTATGTCAAACAGAGTGGGCCATACTTCCAACACAAATGCACCACCTTTTCATGACCTGATTACACTTTCTGAAAGCTTCTATGCTTAACTGTATATAAGCCTTCTTTCACAATGATTTCCATCGTTTGTCAACATTTTGGACTCCTTTGGACTGGAGTCTCTTGTTCTAAAATATCTTAGAGACAAAGCAATGGATCAGACTGTACAAAGACACTTGTTAATTGCAGTTTAGGCCACGTTGATTATATGGATGACATCCCCGCGTGCATGAATTTTTGTCTTTCCAAAAAAAAAAGTTTTCGACCATACGGTAAATTGCACAAAGTAGATGCAAACTGAGCAAATAAAAGCCCTTAATTGAAAAAAAATATTAGAAAACAATACTCGTGTCACGAAATACCAAAATCCATTCCAAAGGACTTTTTTTTATTTGAACGCTCGCATCACTTTTGGGGTTACCAGAGCCAGAGGTCCATATAATCAAATCAACATGGCCTTATAGTTAATCTACTGCCAATTTACAGCAAAGAACAGATTTCATTATTGTTGTTGTCCTGTGAATGTAAAGAACCCACCTTGATGAAAGTCTCCATCTCGATCTTGCGGCGTTTCTCCAGCCGTTCCTGCTCCACCTGACAGGTGGCGCACACGAACAGGTGGTTCACTACAGGACCGCCTCCGAACCTTGAACAGGAAAACACACCAGCAAATAGTGAGACTTATGAACAGATGGTCACAAATACAGGACTGTACATGACATATGAGGCTAACTGCTGTTTTAATTAAAACTACATTTAGTGATGTTTACAAAAGGAAAACATATTGTTTTTGCTCTGTTTCCTCTTCTCCAAACACCAAAGGTCAATGACCTGAACTAGATGGCTGTGACCATGGTAACTGGTGTTGAGTTACACCATGTTGCATTTTTATAGCAGGAGACTGCTGTCACCATATATATGAATGTGTTTGAGTGAGAATTACATGTAACAGTCTAAGAGCAGACCATATGCGAAGGTAAACATTATGCATTTGCTTTGCAAATGTTACCTTTTTAGTTAAAACTCATATTTGTTAAGAACTATTGTAGAGTGGAACTTGTCGCCACCAATCACAATTGGGGCATCATCACTGAAAAGCTTTAAACAATGCCTGCAATTAGATGTGCAAAGATTGGGTGTAACAGGTTGTTCGGTGTAATGTAGCTAGCTGCCGCCACGCCATGTGCCTGCAAAGCTGGCGTGTTATGCAGAAAAGCGGTTATACGGGCTATACAGATACAGATACATTGTATATAAAACACAATACTAGATGTACATACTTGTCCAGCAGATACTCCCATACTGGCTCTGGTACTGTGGTTACCAAGTCTTCTAGGAACGAAGACTTGTGTGGTGGAATACCTGAAAAATACCACAAACGCATCAAAACTCCCATAGTTAATAAAAAACTACATTTCACAAGGCAAAGGCATTGAAGCCTGGCCATTGTTGGGATACAAGTTGGAAGTTTTGGACATTTACAACACAAAAACTGTGTCTACTCAGAGAATGGAAGATTCCATTGAAGAGGGGTGTACAGGGTTGTGTTTGTACCTCCATGTCTGCACAAGAAGTCATTGTTGCTGATTGGTCCAGGCTCAGCGAACATGGTGAACTTGTGGAGCCACTGACGGGAGATGTAGAACTTCATCAGGCCAGGCTGGAGAACAGGGAACACAGGCTCAGGTTAGTTAGTTCAAGTTAAAATCCTTCCCACAACGTTTTATGTACAGTGAAGTACCCATCTGAATAGCCCTTGGGTCACACAGTTGTGCAACTACTACAGCTAAGCTTGTAGTCCACTGGTAGTGGAGTGTGTTTAACTACCATACTCTTCCCAAAATGCTAAAAAGCAGTATACCGGTATGCTATTTTTTTAGAAATGTCTTTGGTTTGATTCTTCAGTAAAGAAAGTTTTAAAAATCTCACCTCTTTAGTGCTGACCAGGTTGGCAACTTTGTGTCTCTCCCGTTCCATATCTTCATTACGTTTTCTGTAATAAATAATCAGTGAGAAACTTTGTAAAAAAAACTGAAGGATTTCAAAGCTGGCTCTAACTTTAAGGAAAGGTAAACAACGTTTGCTGTCTGAGAAAAATGGACATGTTCGTGGAACTTTATGTGCGTGGTGGCGGCAGATGCAGAAAAAAGAAAGCCGGCAAATTATTTGTTCGTGGTAATGACAAGTGGCTGCAAAAACTGCGAAAATAGAAGTACATGTACCATGAAAACTCATGAATTACAGTATACCTGTAGAATAGGACATAGGCCTCTGCATTGGTGACCGCTGACTCCAGGACTTCGGTGACGTACATGTCATCAAACTCGTACCACTGCCCGTTCAGGTGGTTCATGCAGTACGCCGTGTAGTGTCCGCCATTCGCCGTGCCGTGGTGGCAGATCACCGCAACCAGGTCATAGGTCATCACTTGTGACTGGCTCTCTGAAACATAGTTAAACAACATTGTTAGTTGTGGGAGTAATGTATGGAGACACTTCATGCCATTTTTTCAAATATTTCATTTTGAATTTTTGAATTCATTTATTTCTTGACACCAAAAAGCAAACCTTACAGCAGGGATAAAACTCCCTGAATTGCAAAGCGTTTGTGTACACAAATTACAACAGGAAATATATAAATTTCGTAGTCCTAAACTGGATTAACTGGTATCCTGGTATATAACGCTAGCTCCAGTCATAGTGGACTCTTGCCAAATAGTCTGGTACCTGATATTAGGGAAGAAATAATTCACTTTTAATTCATAAAAGCAGGAGCTCTGATTGGCAGCGAGTCACACAGTTACTAAACCCTGATCCCTGCCTCACCTTTAGCCATGAAAGGCCTGAGGTCCAGCCCCTCCAGTGGGAAGGACACGTAGTTGTTGATCTTAGTGGAGTACATCACCTCATGGCGGAATCTCTTCAGGTGGATACACAGGATCTGGGGAGGAAAGTCATGGAGCAAAAATGCTGAGAAGTACACCTACATTTGTACCTTGTCTATATGTGTCTTACCATACAGTAAAGATACCTGAAGAAAGAGTTGTATAAGCAAGCAATTGACTATCTCCATTGCTCAACATTGTCTTCTGTAGTGCTAGCTTTGGGGGAAGTGAAAACTGGACACAGCAGAGTGCATCTTGTCGCATCTTGTTTCACAAAACATGAAAAAAGGACCCTTACCTCTGGCAGTTCCAGCACTTTGGAGAACTTCAGTCCATTTCTTAATCTGTGAAAAATGAAATTCAAATCATATCAATATGGCTACATTTTTTCCTTTTGAACAGACTCTAGCACTCTATACAAGTTGAACACAAATGCATGCTCTAATCTGTTATTCACAGCTGTCTTATAACACAACATCCATGTAGAATATAGGATAACATGAGTACTGACTTCCTGCACTTCTCACAGCTGTACATGTTGTCTCCCTTCAGGTCATCAGCGGAGAAGAACGCAGACAGACAGTCGTCTAGAGTCACCTGTGGGCCCCAGAACCAGCTGTACATGTGGGGAGGGGGGCACAACAAAGCACTGTCAGGGAACAATCTCATGATTCAAAAGTATATCCATCAAGTTAGCCATAGCCTTTTTCAGGCCATAGGTGCAATGGGTTGTTATTCAACTGTCTAGAGTACAACAAAAAGCCCATCCCTCTCCTTCCACCACCTCCCCAACTGAAGTCAGGTACCGATTCTACACCTGGGTGGAATGAACAAATTTGTGACAGGTGCCTTTCCCAAGGACCAGGACACAATGTCTAGACAGGATTCAAATCTGGTCTCTCTATCCCTTGTCTGCTTACCTAACCATCCAGTCATCAAGAAACAGCACTATTGACACAACAAACATATAGGGACTTTTCCATAGCTTTGAGTACACAACAGGGATGTCGGTTTTTAAGAAACCTGCCTTAAACCATTGGAGCTATGTTGCAGTATTATTTTTTTACCTTTTGAGCCAGTCATAGAAGTACCCCACCCATCCCTGTGAGGTAGTGTAGGCATCAGTACAGGAGCTCTTCAGGGTCGGGCCTTGTGCTGAATGGAGCAGGGCCAGGTCCTCTTTACCTGGGGGAAGGGAAATCAAATGTAGAGTCAGATACAACACTCCTATCTTTTATAGTGCATGTACATGACAAATCGTTCAGGCAAATAACAGGAGAGCACTGTATAGCATCTGATATGGTACCTTCAGAGATGAGCTCCCCCTAGCAGGAGCTATTGTCAATGCAGGCTTTGACAAGAACCAACTTTGATATTTTAACAAAAATGGGCACAGAATAATGCATAGCAACAACTTCTGAAGGGTCTCTCAAGGACATGCTAGGTGAATCTAGCAGAATCCATCAGAATTACACTTCCATGCAAAACATATAGATCAATCGGATATTACATCCACTGTTTCCATGCTAAAACTGTAGACTTACTGGGTATAGGGAGGGAGATATCCTGGAAAGTTTCCTTGGTGCAGGAGACACGGTCACAGGTCAGACACTGGACAGAACTCAGGATCTTTCCATCAAACACGTCAGAAATGATGCTGTGATGTCGGACATTTCTCTTCTTTCTCTGGGCTGGAAGGCAAGTCAAATTATCAGATTATGTTTGCACTGACAAATACTCAAAGTTGCTTGTACTTCTATTAGTTATTGATTGAAATACACAGTTTTTATGACCTTTTTTAAAATTCTATAAAGTAGACAGTAGCGAGGTACAGGAGTAAATAAAGTAGAAAGTACTACAAGTAGTTGACAAGAAACAATGAATTTTGGTTGTACCTGATTTGAAGGTGGGCTGCACGTCTTTTAGACTGGCCTTCATGGGACTGTTTGGCTGACTGGCACTCCTGATGCCCTGTGGGCTGTTAGAGCGGCTGTGGGGAGGGCTCTCTCTCATGGGGCTACTGCTGGAACACCCGGAGTCCGAATCCGGTACAGAACCGGTCTCAGCCGCCTCGCCGGACTCGTCCACGTCTGCGTCGATGTCGTGTCGCGACCCCCGCCGTCGCTTGCTCTCCTCTTTACTCTGAGTCTCTCGTACGAACCCCTGACACGACTTGACCCGTTTTCGCGGCGAGCGGGTCCTGAGGTTCGACACGTAGTCGCTGGGCTCCGAGAGGACGCGGCTGCGGTTCCTGGCGTTGGCTCTCTGCTCGCGGGAGTCCAGGGTGCGGATGTCGCTGTCTGACGAGCTGCGGGGGATGGACTGCGCCGTCCTGACGTCGTTGTTGGGAATGCAGGACTCGTCTGGAGTGTTTTGCTCCGAGCTTCCCGCGGATTCGCAGGAGTGGTACTCCTCGTCTGAGTGGCTGGAGGAGTAGTCGGAGGAGCGGATGGGAATGCTGGGACTGGACGCTGTGGGAGACCTGTCCTCATTGGTCGGGCAGGTGTAGTCCTCAAACTCTGTGATTGGCTCCTTCAGTTCCTCGTGCAGTTGGTCCATCAAGCAGCGCAGGAATTCTTGGGAGTCCTGCATGTTGGGGGGGAACATATTAAACACACATCTGCAACAGCTACTCATCAAGATTACTTAGGTCCACTTGAGTTTCCTTTTTAGATTTTTTAGATAGTCACAATGTTTCTGATTTACATGTGCCAGACACACTGTGCATATAATGTATTACAAAATTGTCTCTGCCAGAGGTTTTGCCAAAAAAGACCATTGGTGTTTGTTGTACAGTACCTGTTGTGTATACCCTCTGAACATAGGGTTGACCATCTTGATTCCATGGGCTATAGCAACAGGTACCAAATAACTTGGTCTGGAACACAACAATAAAACACATGTTAGATTACTATGGTGTACATGTAATGTATTGGTGTAAAAGCAAAATGCATTTGAGGCCTAAAACTTTGTATGTTACAAAATTTGACAAAACATCATACATACATGTACATGTATATAGGAAATAGGATATATTAGATTGAAAATCTAGGAAATATTTTGCAGATTAAAAATCTGTATCAATGCTACTACTACTCCTACTAATTGTTTACACATTTGTTTAGCAAAATATGGGTATTTCTGAACCATTAGATGACATACCTTTTCTTATGCCACATTTCTAACATGAGTTTCAGGTAGCTCTTGGACAGTCCAGGTTTCTTCTCTGTCTTTGACATGCCAACCATGCCTCCACACTCCAGGAAATAGTTGGTCAGAGGAGGGCTGAAAACACAGTAAACATGAGTCACAAGCTCCTCCTAGTGATCCACAACAAAACTGCAGCTCAACTTGCAACATAAAGTGAATAGTCCACTTTCCGAATCAAGATCACGTTAATTCTCGCTAAGTAAGTAATAGAAGTCAGCCAATCGAGGTTTAAATCCTGAGCTCACCAGTTGGACAGTGCCTGCAGCGCAGCATTCATGTAACAGGTGTTCCCGATGTTCTGTAGTCCAGTCAGACCTGTGGGAGAGTCATCCACTACTTTGGGTCAGGGAAAACCAGAACGAAATACAGTTACAAACAAAAAACACTCCATGCACTAACAGCTATGGAAAAACCATTACATGAATACTGTACAATATCTTTTATTCTTAGACTTAACCTGAGTGTATGTGTGAGAGAAAATGTTCCCAACCTTTTGGTTTTATATCAGGGTCATCCATGTAGTCTTCCTGTACACGTGGTGCACCATCCCCTCCACCGTTTCTCTGGTCTTGAGATGTCTACGGTAAAAGTACAGCAAGAAGAATGCAATTACTACACACAATGTACCATGTTCCATGACTGCATTTTTGGGAATAGTTACACTGGTGCACCCAACCTAAAAAATTGGGCGTCCAAAAAAATTTTGAGTGCACCATATAGGATAAAAAAAGTAGAAAGTCACCAGAAACTAATTTCTAAAGAAAAGTAGTAAAACAATGATTCTATCATTTTTCTGACACTTAGATGTTAAGAATATGCTGTATACTATTATAGAAAACCCAAAGAAAAAAATTGGGTGCGCTGCTCCAAATTTGGGTGCACTAACTTGACTAAGGTACCACTAGTACTAAGGCACCCAGTATTTCTAGCCCTGCAATCTATGGAAGGTTTTAGATGGTTTGAAAAGTAAAGGGGTATGTGACATGCACCCAGTATTTTGAGCCCTGCCTGTAGAACACAGAGGCATTGAAGTTTTAATACAAAGTTTCTTCTCAGGACATCTTTGATGCCTATTTTACATGGCAATCAAATGGGGCCAATCAGACAAGAGTAGCTTTAAATACTGACCTGTGATTGGCCGGTTGACCGTTTGTACGGGGAGGACTTGTTGTTGCCAGGCGACGTGGCGTTCTTGTCCAGGAAGACCTCCGTCTCGCAGGAGTAACACCAGGTACGGAACGTGGTCAGGTTCATGGTCAGGGCATGCTTCACCGTCTGGACAAACAACAAAACAACAAATTACTATCAAACACAAACTTATACATTTTGGCAACTCCTCTGGGGCAGAGGCATGTTTTTTTTATTATTTTACTCCAACATGTAATCACAAGATTGAATGCTTGATTTTTTTTAGAAAGATCTTGAATATGCATATGAGGCAAGGATGGTAGGAACAAGACATTAGATCAAGACACTCCCTGTACTGCCTAACCTTCTCTCTAGCCTGCTACCTTACCCCACAATCACCATACATTGAGATACAAAAGGATACTAGTACCTCAGCAGGAAAAGGGTTATATTTACTAATAGTATACTAACAATCATGAGTGCTGACATCTCTTACCACGGCATGATGGGTACTGTGGTCCACTGCAGATTCTCCACATCCCACATAATTGCAGTTTGCCTGGAAGCCACAAGGGGGAAAATTTCAGTCTTGAATTTAGAGGACTACAGGATAATAACAGCTTCTAGCAGCACATTTTTTTAAAAATTAATCTTGACTTTGCATTATTCTACATGTATATATATTATGACTTGTGCTACACTGATAAACTCTCTACCAAAAAATTAGACTAAGACTTAGTGCCGTAACTAAACAGTATGTTTCCTTACCTGTAGACAAGCCCACAGGTTGGGCCCTACAGCTGGGCAGGAGCTGCATGATCCCTGGACATAAAACATCGAGCTAATTTAATATTTCACAATCTATCTACAGTAGCATGTAGTACACTTTCCTTCTATAAACAAATTTACAAATTGAAGAAAGAAGGATTTCGTTTTTTTTGTGATGAAATGTTTAAAAATGTGTAAGATGAAACACTCAATGAGTCATGATTACCTTAGCTTTCTGTAAGAGATCCTCTCTGGAAATGTCTCCTAAGGTCCCCAGATGGGGACAGGAGTTCTGTGAAGACATCTTACAACTCACAGGTGTCTACTGTAGTCCTACAAGCATCACAGGTTGTGTCCTGGCTGTAGGGATACAAGTACACTTGAACCCCACTGTTACAAAACATGGCATCTACTTAGTACTACCAATATACATTGTAGTAATCAAACATAATGTGTGAATCAAACATACTAGTAATCAAACAATTTTGTGATAGGAGATGTTGTGTCATCTGACTGACAGACTACTTGGTAGGCCTACCACATTTAGGTATGGTTAATTGACAGGATCATCCTGTCAATAACAGAAAATGCTGTACTATTGACAGGATCATCCTTTTGGATTTGCTGCCTAGCGCTCCATTAATGAATGTATTGTTGTTACAATTTGAATAAAGAAATGTGTGTTTCAATCATAGGATTTCTTTTTTCTAACATACTTATATGCCATATATCTATCCTTATATACATGAACAGGACAATTTTTGCATAAATCCCTGTGCCCTGCCTGACAAAGATACATGTGCTTTTACATGTGAACGTACATTGAGTCACATCCTATAGAGCTGTTGACCCAAATACATCTAAATTACATGATTAGGCTGCGAGATATTTCGTGATTCAAAATCAGGCCACAGCACAAAACAAATGAAGACAGCTTTTGATCTGAAATTTATCTACGTAGAAACATATATTATTCGATTTCTTGCCCAATTTCTGCGAAGACATAAATATTTTCGGCAATAACAATTAAAGTGGGCGGTCCCATGGGATGAACGTTAGAAAATGATGACTTGTCATGTTTGCGAAGTAACCAAAATGTAATTTTCACGAAAATTAAAAAAAAACTACTTCCATTTAATGTTATACTTTATATTATACCATTATTACAATGTTTTATACTTGGCTGGTCTTACATAATGTAAACATTATTTTATATATTGATCGGAATCGCCTGGAAGCTTCTATCCATATTTTTTCGACAACTCGTTCATCTCATTTCCACGTAGATTCGATGAAATTTACGGAAAATTCAGCAGTCCAAAAAGCTATTTGGGGGGCAGAAATGTTACCCATTGATTGATGATTATGTGAAAGAAAAATTGTGCGGAAAATGTGATATTTAGAGGGAGAAATTGACAACTTACCTGCTAAATGTCAAATAACGAACGATGATTCTGCATTGATTACCGAAGGAACATGGCGGCCACGACCTGCTCATTTTACGGCATATTTCCGTTAAAATTTCTGTGAAAATAAGACAAAAAGAGTGATTTAAAATCTCATTATTCACATGATTGTAAGCATAAAAATATCACTTGTAGTATTTTTTGAATGAATGTGGTAAATTTAGCAGTTTTATCAATATTCCAGAGGACTTAATGATTTACGACAATTTACGACAAGCGCTCAACAGTTTTGTACATGCGCACGATGATACATTCCTACCGGTGAGATTGCCAGGTATTTTGTAGCAGACGGTTTTATGTTTATTTGTTGTTTTCCTCAATTTCCTGACCAAAAAACACATTCTCTGCGGGAGAAACATATCCCAAATGCAAGTGTGTAAATTTTCGCGTCGTTTTAACTCCTCAAGTTGTGTATTTGATTTGAAAAAGCATCGGAAATCCGCTAGGAAGTGATAGTTCAGCTGAACAACTTTACGTCAAAATTTTATCGGGCAAAGATGACAGAAAAAATTGTGCCAAAAAAGGACATTTCCAATTGTCTATCGACGTGTTTTCTACTGACTTGAATTCTACGCCATTTTTGTCGAAGAAAACCGTCGTTTGAAAGCTTCAACTGTCGTCAAATCGGTGAGTAAAAGTCAGTGGCTTTGTTTGAAAAATAGCCTGAACCGTTAACTTGCTACATAATGATTGTTGACTTTTGTTATTGTTGTCAGTAACTTGTCACCATTAATTTTCAACTTATAGTTCAAGTTTCTCAATGTCTTTTTATGGTATTATATTTTAATGATATTGTCAAATTTTGCGCATGCCTTTGACCTCCTTTGTAGTAATTGTACATGACATTTATACATATGTGTGTGTATATTTTATAAAATGTTGTAACTGGATATTTTTCTAGTTAACTTAAATTGTTAGCTACTAACTCAAAAGTAATGGTCTTTACATTGTAGCTACTAACTATGTACTTGTACTATCAACCAAGCTACAATAAATGAAGACTTAGGTTATCTGATAAACCAACTTCAATAGCTAACTTGAAAATTTTAAACAAACAATATGAGAAAAGGCTGTCACATATTTTTGATTATTAGAAAAGCTTGTGTCATATACGTATGTGTAGTATACAATGCGACCTTTACATACAAAATAGCCAGAAATTAGTGAATAAAGACCACTTAGCCAACCACCTGTTGGAGTGGGCATGTCAACACCGTCATGTATTTGTAGTCAGTGACAATGGGGCTCAGCAATAAAGAGTTATAGAAATTAGTGAATAAAGACCACTTAGCCAACCACCTGTTGGAGTGGGCATGTCAACACCGTCTTGTATTTGTAGTCAGTGACAATGGGGCTCAGCAATAAAGAGTTAACTTAAAGGTATATCTTTATCTTCTACTAAGATAAGTTTTGGTCTAACTACATTTTCGAGCAATAGTGAGCATATATCGTTTATGCAACAGAAGTCGGTACTAGTACTTGTTGAGACTTTGTGTAATTTTTCTGAAGTCCATAAAGAGACAAAAGACCGCTTTGCAGTTGATGGAAAACTAGGTCCTCTGACTCGTCTGTGTCTGATTCGCTTTGCAGTTGATGGAAAACTAGGTCCTCTGACTCGTCTGTGTCTGATTGAGTCTGATAATCTATTGGTGAGTGTAACTTGGTCATGGCATAGCCTGGGTGCAATCCTCTGTAGTTACCACCAGCTTAGTTGCTGGCTACAATGTGGCTGTAACTACGAAGGATAGCACCCAGCAGGCTATGCCTGGTTAGGAGTTTGCAGACAGGTTCACTATTCCCAGTATTCAGCCAATAGCATCAGTAGAAATGACTGGATAAATAGTGAGCATACGGTGAGACCAAATATGGGCGTGAGCTGCGCATTCTAACATTTGCGTTCTGTGGAAACAGTGGTTTGGTTGACTGTTTACTTTAGTAGCTATGGGCGTGTTCCTTCTCAGTGAAAGGTCCTAGTCATTTCAATCATGCACTCTTTAGTTAAAGTCTATTCATGTGTAACAGTATATCCCTAATACCGGTATTCCATAGAGCCTAGTCAATTACTGAAAGTGGTATTGATGTGTGTATGTGTAATGGCTATAACATATTACATGAACTTGAACCCCTTCTGCTGCAATTGTATCGTGGTGGCTTGGTGGCCTTGTGGTTTAGGGTTGCGGCTTTTTAAAAATCTATTTAGGCTTGAGTTCAAATCCCTACTTCATCAGTTACTCTATAATGATCCTGTATGTTAATCACACTGTCACCTGTGGAAAAAAGTAAAAGTGACATAAAGGTAAATTTCGCTATCAGTCTGGTCTTATAATATATATGCTGCTTAAGCAAACATTTTTGAGCTGCAAATGGAAGCAAGTAGCATTAGAAATCAAGGTAAAACCCTCATAGTATACCCACATGTTATATAATATAGCTTATAAGGTTAAAGGCCTACATGTACTTTCTGAAATTGGTGCACTTAAATATACGAATTTGAATGCACGTCACAGTTAGCGTTAAGTAACTTTGCCAGCGGGCTACATGGTAATGAATGTTATTACTGTATATATTTCACATGCTACAAACTACTGTAATCTTATCTTAATACTCCATACACGAAAATCATAGTATAGGTCACCTAAAAGGCGAGCCAATCTGCGTGTGTGAGTAGCTTCTACAAGTTGCGTGAATAGAATTTTTACCTATTAAGTAATTTTCACCTCAAGCCAAGGTCTTATAAGCAGCTTATACATGTACCAAAAAATGTATTTGGTGGGTTTAAGTCCTAAATCATTTTAGAATCGTTGGGATGACATTGACTTATTATTCGCTCATAAAATGTAAGCTCGTAATTTTTCTTGGCGTATATGTGCATGTGCAATGGCAGATAACAGGATGAAAAGTCAGGGTGAAGTCATTTTTTGTGCAAAACTGTGTACAGTACCAGTGTAGGGTCCAAAATACATATTTCTGTGAAACAGTGCAGACTGTGCTGTATGTCAAGATTCAAGACACAAATATTCTGTATATAACAATTCCTCTTCAATACTTTTGTTGCATTTTAATGGTTATATAGCTATACTTAGAAGTATATTTACAGTAGCAATAATTACATACATGCTATTCCTTAGAATGTCATGTCGCCCCCCCCCC